GCGTAACATTTCCGTCACACGCTTGAGGTATTCAGCCAATCACAACGCACTGGATAGCTGGCCAATCACAGCACACCTCGCTTTTCAGACCGATGAGCTTTGTAACAATCAACGCGTTTCAGAAAGGCGGGGGATAGAGAAACAATAATGTACAGTATGTGGAAAATAATTTTCTATTAAGAAATTAATAATTTCTATTCTTCAATAAGAAGGAAGCTGACGTTCGCTCTCAGCAGCAGCAGCTGGTCGAATTGATGCACAAGGTTCTGGGAGGAAATCCGACTCTTTCGGTCAACGTGGAGGGAGTGCGAGCGCTGCCCGACGATCAGTGAGACGCATCTCTGCCTCCAGCCTTTCTTCAAACTCAGTCATTAAACAAAACACCAGTGCCTGGCTCGTTCTGCAAGAGCGGCTCCTTCACCGAACGCTTTCCAGCTCTATAATAAAACTCACCCACAAGCATGTGATTTAATTCTAACTGTGAGCTTGAAATGTTTCTGTGTGAAAGCGTCTGAGAGCCGCTGCTGTGTGTTATAACGGATCCGGTCGTGATCAGACTCTGATATCCACTTGTGTTTGTGCAGAGCGGAGATGATCATTTATCTGGTGGAGCGCTCTCCTAGCGGCACGTCAAAGCGAGTCCCGGCGTCCACGCTCTACAGCTACATGGAGCAGATGAACGTGAAGTCTGCGCTGCAGCAGCTGGGTGTGATCATGGCGGTCAGTCGCACCGCACTGACCCCGGCGCAGCTCAAGCAGCTGCTGCAGAACCCGCCCGCAGGTACGTGTGTGTTCACTCGCTCGCACGATATCGCTGAGGAGCGCCGCTGACACTGTTTGTGTGCAGGTGTGGATCCCATCATCTGGGAACAGGCCAAAGTGGACAATCCAGACCCAGAGAAGTGCGTCTTCATTAATCGCTCGTCAGACGCTCATGTGATCTGAGCTCACCAGCTGTGATTTTCTGCTCAGGTTGATTCCGGTGCCCATGGTGGGCTTCAAAGAGCTGCTGCGCAGACTGAAGATCCAGGATCAGATGACCAAACAGCACCAGACCAGAGTGGATGTGAGTGAGACGCTCAGAGCCCGGCGGTTCTTTCTGACGCTGTCATGTGACCGGCTCTGTCTCTGTGTTTCAGATCATCTCTAACGACATCAGCGAACTGCAGAGGAATCAGGCCACGACCGCCGCCAAGATCACGCAGTACAAACGCAAGCTGATGGACCTCTCACACAGAGTGCTGCAGGTACCTCTCTCTCACACACACACACACACACTCTCACACTCACGCACACACTCACTCACACACACTCTCACACTCACGCACACACTCACTCACACACACTCTCACACTCACGCACACACTCACTCACACACACTCTCACACTCACGCACACACTCACTCACACACACTCTCACACTCACGCACACACTCACTCACACACACTCTCACACTCACGCACACACTCACTCACACACACACACTCTCGCACGCGCGCACACACACACACACACATTCTCACGCGCACACTCTCACACGCGCACACACACACACACATACACAGGTTTACATTTGTGAAAAGTGGGGACTCTCCATAGGCGTAATGGTTTTTATACTGTACAGACCGTATATTCTATTGCCCTACACCAACCCTACCCCTAAACCTACCCCTCACAGGAGACTTTCTGCTATTTCAGATTTTCAATACACTCACACACACACACACACATACTTGTATTTGTGGTTTACGGGGACTCTCCATAGGCGTAATGGTTTTTATACTGTACAAACTGAATTTTCTATTGCCCTACACCAACCCTACCCCTAAACCTACCCCTCACAGGAAACTGCTGGCAATTTTTGAATTTCATAAAACACTGTTTTGTATTTTTTTTTAAGCCTTTTGTTTTACGGGGACACAGGAAGTGTCCTCATAAACCATGTTTACATTGTAGTACCCATGTCATTATACACATTTGTGTCCTCATAAACCATATATACCTGTACACACACTCTCTCACACACACACACACACACACACACACTCAATAACACACACACACACTCCTGAGCACTGCATGTTCTTCAGTACAACACACACAGAGTCCTGTCTGTTCTGTACTGTTCCAGGTGTTGATCAAACAGGAAGTTCAGAGGAAGAGCGGTTACGCCATTCAGCTGGACGAGGAACACCTGAGAGTTCAGCTGGAAACCATCCAATCAGAGCTCAACGCACCGACACAGTTCAAGGTGTGATCATCAGCTGGAACACACCCGCCATCTCTCAGTGTGTGTCTATAATGTTTGTTTAAAGTGTGTGTTTAATGTGTGTGTTTCAGGGGCGACTGAATGAACTCATGTCTCAGATTCGGATGCAAAATCATTTTGGAGCTGTTCGTTCAGAAGAGCGTTACCGTGTTGATGCCGACCTGCTGAGAGAAATCAAACAGGCAAGAACCAGAACCTGCCCAGTGTGTGAGTGAGAGTGTGTGTGTGAGTGAGAGAGTGTGTGTGAGTGAGAGAGTGTGTGTGAGCTGTGAGTGAGAGAGTGTGTGTGAGCTGTGAGTGAGAGAGTGTGTGTGAGTGAGAGAGTGTGTGTGAGTGAGAGAGTGTGTGTGAGTGAGAGAGTGTGTGTGAGT